CTACACATTTGAACAATAATATTTGAAATCATCAAAATTTATAAGTTTCCAAAAATGTAATGCATGCAAATAGCAACTATCTTAACATTGAAGACAGCTTTCAGTACTCGGTACGGGTACTACAAGTTTTTTATTATGCCTTTTGGGGTAACCAACGCACCAGCTGTTTTCATGGATCTGATGAACAGAGTATTCATGGAGTATCTGGATTAGTTTGTGATCGTCTCATCGATGATATTCTGGTGTATTCTGCTTCTAAGGAAGATCATGCCAGACACTTGAGCATTGTGTTGGAGACTTTGAGGCAGCATCAGCTATATGCTAAGTTTTCCAAATGCGAATTCTGGCTGAAAAGTATTTTTTTTCTAGAGCATGTGGTGAGCGGAGAACGTATTTCTGTGGATCCCCAGAAAATTCAAGCTGTTGCTAATTGGCCAAGGCCTACTATGATATTTGAGGTACGTAATTTTTTAGGCATGGCTGAATATTATAGGAAATTTGTGAAGGGATTTTCTCAAATTTCTATGCCTCTGACGAGACTGACTCAAAAGCCAGTAGCTTTTGTTTGGACTCCGAAGTGTGAGGCTAGTTTTTAGAGGTTGAAGGATTATTTGACATCTGCTCCTGTGTTAGCACTTCCGTTATGTATGGAAGGATTTCAGGTGTTCAGTGATTCTTCACTGAAAGGTTTGGGCTGTGTTCTGATGCAGCATGGTAGAGTAATAGCATATGCTTCGAGACAGTTGAAACCATATGAAAAGAATTATCTGACGCATGATTTAAAATTGGGTGCAGTTGTTTTTGCTTTGAAGATATGGCGTCACTATTTGTATGGCGTCAGATGTGAGATCTTTACGGATCACAAGAGTTTAAAGTATATATTTACTCAGAAGGATCTGAATCTGAGGCAAAGAAGGTGGCTTGAGTTGATCAATGATTATGATCTGTCTATTCAGTATCAGCCTAGGAAGGCTAATATGGTAGAAGACGCTCTGAGCAGGAAGTCTTCTGGATTATCAGGTATTCAGCTCACTTCTGATGACTATCTGATACGAGATATGGAAAGATTACAGTTGGAGGTGATTTCCTCTACTGGTCCGGATTCAGTTATTTTGACTCAGATGAACATTCAGTCTTCTCTGGAAGAAAGGATTCTGGAAGCTCAGAAGTCAGATTCTGATTACTTGAAGTTGATTACTCATATTGAATCGGGTAAGAAACCTGAACTACAAATTTCTGATTCTGGTGTTATTTTCTGCAAGAATAGACTGTGGATTCCTGTGTTTGGAGATTTGAGGAAAGAGATTCTGTATGAATCTCATCATTCGGGCTATACGATACATCCGGGAAGTGGCAAGATGTACGGAGATATGAAGAGTTTGTTCTGGTGGCTTAGAATGAAAAAGGATGTAGTAGATTTTATTTTGAAATATGAAGCCTGTCAGTTAGTGAAGGCAGAGAATCAACGACCAGGAGATCTTTTGCAGTCGTTGCCTATCCCTGAGTGGAAGTAGGAGGAGGTAACGATGGATTTTGCTATGGGTTTCCCTCGATCAAGACAAGGGCATGATGCCATCTGGGTAATTGTGGATCGCTTGACGAAGTCTGCACACTTTCTTTCGATCAGGCAGATGGATCCGGTGGATAAGTTGGCTCAGATATATATGAAAGAAATTGTCAGATTGCACTGTGTGCCAAAGGTGATTGTATCTGATCGAGATAGACGCTTTACTTCCAGACTTTGGAAGGGTATTCAGCAAGGATTGGGTACGAAGTTGCATTTCAGTACAGCTTTTTATCCGCAGACTGACAGTCTGAGATGACTATTCAAATACTGGAAGATCTTCTGAGGTTATGTGTTTTGGATTTGGAGGAAGCTGGGAAGATCATATCCCTTTAATAGAATTTGCTTATAATAACAATTTTTAGTCCAGTATTGGTATGGCACCTTACGAAGCTTTGTATGGCCGGAAGTGTAGAACTCCTTTGACTCTAACAGAGGTGGGTGATAGACAAGAAATGGGTGCAACATTTGTGGATGAAACTGTTAAAAAGATCAATCTGATTAAAGAAAGATTGAAAGCTGCACAAGACAGACAACATAAGTATTATAATCAGAAGCACATATTTGTGGAATTTCAGGTTGGTGACTTTGTGTATGTCAAAGTCAGTCTGATGAAAGGTGTGAGCAGATTTGGAAGAATGAGCAAACTTAGTCCAAGGTATGTCAGACCTTTTGAGATTATTGAAAGGATTGGAAAGTCTGCTTATAGATTATTATTATCTGATCAGCTATCTGATGTGCATAATGTTTTTCACGTATCCTCATTGAAAAAGTGGATGTCTGATGCTGATAAGAAGTTGTCTGCTGATGAGGTTGAGATTCAGGAGAATCTTCGGTACAAAGAAGAACCTGAAAAGATTTTAGCTTATGATGTACGAAAACAGAGAAGTAAACAGATTCCAATGGTTAAAGTTCAGTGGAAGCACAGAACAGCTCGGGAAGCAACTTGGGAGAAGGAGTCGGACATGAGACAGCCCTATCTGTAACTGTTTTGACGAAGTTTTGGTTTGGCAATGTCGGGACGACATTTTTTTGAAGTTGGGGAGATTGTAAAGGCTGTTTCTCCCAGGATCGTCCGGGACGATCAGGGATTCGTCAAGGACGATCTGTACAGAATTATGAAGAATTTGCCTGTTCGTCTGTACGAACCTGGAAGAGTCGGGACGAACCAAACCCGAGGGTTTCGTCCCTGGACGACGAAATTGGCATTTAATTTCGTCTGGACGATCTGTGTATATGGGAGATCGTTCCGGGACGAACAGGACATCGTCTGGGATGATCCTGTGTATTAAATATCTGAATAGTGTCGTTTTGAAGAGAGAGAAAGTCCAGGAGAGAAAAAACTGAAGGAAAAGAGGAAAAAGTGGATTTTTGAGCGACTCTGATCCGTTTTCGTCCGTCGTCGTAGTTGAAGAAGTTGACCGGCACGATGTAAGGCACATTCCGCCTTTCTCAATTTTCAGAAATGAGATTTTTTGCACGTTTTCTGTTCCGAATTTTGTTTCCGTTAGCGAATTTCTGGTATTATTTTCTTCTAACAAAGGTTTTACCGCGTAACTTTTGGTATGTCTCTGAGATGATAATTGTGCACGTTTTGCATATTTTTCAGAAGATTTTTTACAGGATATTTTGGATTCTGCGGAGTTTTAATTGAACTACAAATTATCAGGATGTTGAAAAATATTTTATTAGTACAATAAAAGTCTTACAATGTTGTTCTGAATCTGTGAATTTTATGTAAGTTCCGTATACTGTCGTTATGCCGCTGTTTTTTCGTACGAATTCTGCTTTTGTCCTGAATTATACATTGAATGAATTGATTAATTGTATGCTATTATAAGGGAGTTATAAGGGGCCGGAATCCTATGTGATTCCGTTGTCTGGATCTGGGAAGGGAGACATAATGGGAAGTTCTGAAATCTGAAATTATGTATATATGTTCTGTTCTGATGCTATAAGCACAGAAGGGAGTTATAAGGGGAAGTTCTTGTGCTATAAGCACAAAAGGG